CTCATGCTTATGAGGTCTTGTGTGATCTGGTCTCTCATTTCCTCTCTGACCTCATTTCCTGCCGCTCCCTCCCTCCCTCAGTTCCACTGCAAACAACTCCTGGAACATTCCAGGCATAAAGCAGTTTCAGTTCCTCACCTGATTGTTCCATCTGCCAGAAATGTTCTTTCAGTAGATAGCTGTGAGCTCAGTTCCCTTCATCTTTCAAATCTTTGCTCAACTGTCACCTTCTTACCCTACTTAAAATTGCAATCCACTTCCGCTTCTAATTCCCTTTCCCTGCTCTTTTTTCTCCCATACTTTGTATCATTTCATATAATATTATATTATATAGTTATTTAATATGTTTATTATTTACTTTATGTCTCTCTCCAATAGAATGGAAGCTCTCTGAAAGCAGGGATTTTTGTCTGTTTTATTTACGAATGTATCTGAGGCATCTAGAACAGTTTACTACCTGATAAGTACCCAATAGATACTAGCTGAATGAGTGAAAATCTGTTGTCTGGGTGCTCTGAGGCTGTTTCCTAGGCAATTCTCACAGTTATACCTGAGGACACCCCTCTGAAGCTCTGTTTGCACTTCGTCATTCTAATGGGTCAGAGGCATATCTAATCACAGGAAAAATAACAATGTCCAATATAATAACGAAAGAAGATATTCTTTTCCAGTGGCAGTTGTGCTCAGACACATTTCAACTCTCCTTCCTCAGGGAGAGTTTCTATATATGAACTTCTTCCAGAGATAGGGGAAGACTTTGTATCTTTGTTTTTGTGGGCCATACTGTTTCTATTCCTGATCTTGTTCACAGGTTATCATAATCCTTAAATTCTTGTAGATCTTTTGAAATCCTCTTCAACACCACAGGAATGCTGCTCCTGAGATCTGGATGCTGAATAGAATTTCTATAAGTTCTGGAAAATGTGTTGCGGTAGGTGGTTAGGAAATCTTACCGCAGGATTGCTAAAAATCCAAGCCTGGTAGAATTTCCTCCTACAAAGGAACTACTACAGTTCTGTCCACCAACCTGAAATAACAGGACAAGTCACCAGGAGATGTGTGTACACAAGGGCCCTGAATCTTCTTGGAGTGCCTATCATACATTTAAATATTAAATCCAAGTACATATTTCTTCTCTCAAGAACTATTCCTTTACAAAGTCTGTCTATAAAACCTACAAAAACAACTAATCTTCTTAGGTTCTTTATAAATTCTATTGCCTGCCCTTCTCAGTATCAAAAACAGACAAACAAAAAAACAAAAATAAAACCTTGGGCCCTCTTACTATATGATACGAGTCATGGTACTCTGGTAGGTCACATTTACACACACACATATGCACAGAGATACATATACAAACATACAGGTACATACACATATGTACACATACACACACATGCACACATACACACACACATACATTTTCTCTAGAAAAATATACCCTTTCCTAATTTTCCCTAGAAGGGGAAAATTATCCATCTTTTGGCTTTTGATATGTCATTTAAATTTTTGGTAGGTTCCCTTTTATATTTCTTCCTCAAAAATGCCTTTTTGTTCTATTCTTGTAGTCTGAATTCCAATTTCGGTTCGGTCTCTGCTTGCAGTGTGGTAAGACTATGATGCACTCTCAGCACATTTTGAGTAGTAACAAGCCAAAAACCAGGGGTCATGTCCAGGTTCAGATCCTCATGTGGGAGAGGTAAAATGTTAATATAGAGAGGCAAAAGTGGAGTAAAGGGGAAGGCAAAGGCTGGAGCTAAAATTCTGGAAGAAGCATACCTCACTTAATGCTGCTGACTGCTCAGAAGTCCTAGCACGTTTAATTTGCCAGAACTTCTTAATATCAAATTTCTCTTGTGTCTTAAATCCTGGTTCTCTTGAATTCTTTGTTGTGTAGTAATGAATAGTTTTCTATCTTCTTTAGTATTAAAAAATTGCTTTTCTGATCTTCTGAGAAACTAAAACAGTATTATTTCTAATTTTAGATTTCCCCTCACTTCTCAAGGCCTCCAACACAATATCCTCTAATGACATTGTCTTTGGGGTGACCCAAAATTATCATTTATTTCTTACTTATGAGCAGAGAGTTTGCAGCTTTTACTTGCCTTGTCTCTTTTAATGCCTACAGCCACCCGCTAGGAGCAGAGGAGGAAGTGTGTATCAAGTACCATGTTTCCACAGTTTGCCATTTATTTCCACTTACGCTGATTACACGTTGTGTTTACTTTTCCTTATTCCACAGCATCTCTTTAGCTCTACTTCAATGGTAAATCTCTCTAACGTGCCTGTCTTTCTCCCTCAATGGGATTCAATCTGAAAAGTAACTTAACAAAAGCCTAACTGTAGACTCCCTCCCCCTTGAGGGCAAACTAGAACCCCACTGAGGAAGGAACTCCTACAAACAAAAAAGCAGGAGTAGCGCTTCTTGAGCTGGCTTGACATTATTGATTCTGTGTGGGTGCCAACATCCCTATCATCTCAAAGAGGAGATTTTGTTAATGAAACAACATGAAGAAGTGAACTGTCTTTTGAGAACATAAGCCAGAGATAGATGCCCTGAGAATGTGAGTGCTACGGCATTGGGTAGGTGAAAGGAGATGCCTACTTCCACACTGAAACAGAACACTGCACCTCATGCTTTGCTGTGCCGTGGGAGTGGGTGGTTGCCCTAGAGGCTTTGATTCAGACCCACATCACAATTTCTCTCTAGAATCTTCTTCTTTAATAACTGCTGACCCTGCCATAATAGGTCTCTGGGGGATATGCCAATTCTCTTTCAATGTTCTGGCCAAAGAGTGGACAAAAATCCCTTCCCTTGATTTCCCAAGACTTGGGACTCTCAGGAGATTTTACCAAAGGACAATGAAAAACAAATACATTTTAAAAATTATAAAAAAATATAAAATCCATTGCAGAGGGTACAATAGTTACTTAGGAATGAAGAATACAAAGTGTTATGAAAAGTCTGAAGAACTGACAAATATTTGTGGTTGGTTTCTAGGAAATTTCTCCTTGCTGAGAATAGCTTTATCTGGCTACCCCAAAGGTTTAAGTCCCTTGCACAGAGTTAGTTCCCAGGAGTCACTCAGGATGTGGTCTTGGGGATTGGGCAGAATATATTGCTATAAAGTGTGAGAAAAGTTTTAGGAAAAGTGCTGGGCTCAGTGGCTCATGCCTGTAATCCCAGCTCTTAAGGAGTCAGAGGTGGGAGGATAGTTTAAGTCCAGGAGTTCAAGATCTGCCTGGGCAATATAGTGAGACTTCATTCTCAAAAAAAAAAAAAAAAAAAAAAAAAAAAATTTTAGGAAAAGTTTAAACATATTTGTATTTTTTAAAGACTACCTTAGATACAAAATCATTGTCCTGAAATTTTACAGTTGGACTGTGGTGGGGTATACTGTATCTCATGGGTAAGCAGAGTATAGAACAATTTGTTTCTTCTTCCTTTGCCACCTGCATATGTGAGGATAATATTCTTTTGCCTATGTAGTAATGAAGTGTGCATTTAATTTTCAGCATGTGGGTATTCCCCTAGGAATCTCTCCAGTCCTAGCCATGATCACAAGGTCTGAATCTACCATAACCAGCACCCTCTCAGACCCATGTACCCTGTCACATTCTTCGTAAGATACTCTCCACAGAATATGTCTCTGGCTCTGCTGGCACCTCCCTGGGGGGTCTTTACTAGCTTACTCCCAACTTGCCACTCCATGGAGCATATGTTGCTATACTTCCCACCCTGGACTGCATCCTGTATGCCTTGACTCTCAGGAGGTCCAGACTAGGGGCATGATGACTAGCAGCCACTATGGCGAGCAAGATTCCCACTGCACCAACAGTGGCTCTCCATCTGCTCTGGGAAACATGCTTCCTTAGGGACTGGGAATGACCACCCTTTTCAGGTAAAATACCACCCACTAAATACAGGGGTATCACTGTCTTCTCACAGGCCCATCCATAAAAGAGTAGCATAAAGATAGTAATTAAATTATTTAACATTTTCTGATATTTTTGTTAGTTATTATTCTAAGTACTTTATTCCATTAATTTACCTGACATTATTTAACCTTCAAAACAACTCTATAAGGCAGTTACTATTTGATTTTATTAAATTTATAAAAATAATAAATTTTATTTATTTAATAAAATCCCCCATTTTATTTACTTTTTAATTAATTTTATAGAGATGACATTTCACTCTGTTGTCCAGGATGGTCTTGAACTGTCTCCATTATCTTCTAATCTTGACTTTTTTCCTTATATGCTACAATACTGCAATGAATATTCTTGTTGATATTTTTTTCACACCTAAGTGTTTCCATTGGATGTATTTTTTGAAGTGGAATTTTCAGGTGATAAGGCTTACAAATTTCAAATGTTTAATAGATAGTGCCTAAATCCCCTTCAAAAATGTTTGCCAATTTATAACCCTATTATTTGTGTTCCATTTTTGAAATATATAAATATGTGTGCAAATCAACTGCTCTGCGTGGGCAGTTCCTTACACTTTCTGTAATGGAAAACATAGAGGAAAAACCACTTACAGTTTCAGGGGGAGAAAAGGTTCCCGTTTCAAGAAAAGGAAATTTCAGTGGGAGAAAATATTGTGAAAAACAAGGTAATTTTCTACTTTAAGTTTCTGTCCTATGGGTATAAAAAATAGCTGGACATTATCTTCTTCCCAGGCTCTGGTCTCCTCTTCTCCAGCAGGCTGTATTGCTGGTCATTTTTGGCTCCTGTTGGAAGCAAACTGCTCTTATGCCTTTGGATAAGATTTTGACCAGGAGTTATCTTAAAGAATACTCTAAGGAGGGGTATACCAGCCAGCACAATGGTAACCCCTCCCCGGGGTTTTCACAAGGACAGAAGGTGGTGTGTAATAGACTTATCCGTAAAGCAGACGCAACTCCTAACTGGAGTTGTTCCTTATTGGTTAGCAGAAACAGAATTGAGGACTGATGACAGCTGCACAAGAAGATGAAACCATTTCCTTCCTCTTTTCTAAGCTTATCTCTTAAACCCGACTGGACGTTGGCACAGTGCTGGGATGACTATGGAGACCCAAATGTCTCAGAATGTATGTCCCAGCAACCTGTGGCTGCTTCAACCATTGACAGTTTTGCTGCTGCTGGGTGAGTGAGGGTCATTCTGAAAGACTGCAATTTCAGACACTCCTACTGCCTGGACTCTAGGCACCAGTGTGGTAAAGAGCAGGCCTGGGCCCTGGAAGCAGGGGACAGATTGAAAGAGGAGACAGGACCCTGATTTCTTAAGTGTTCCAGTGGTTTTTAAGGTCAGAACTTAGAGGTAGTTACGTAGTCCCTGGAAAATCCATTCTGCACCAAACATTCATGTGTACTTTGTAGTCATGAGGAGGAACAGGGAATGAGATAAGGGGGACATATGAAGTGAATACTCTTATAAAAGATAAACTGGAAAAAAGATCTTGAAATAGGTGCTGGAGAAGGAAGAGCCCAAGCTCACCTCCCCTGCCCCTTTCACATACGCAGCTAAATTTGAAGCCATCTTCTCCTGCTAGACGTTGATCCACTCTCTTCTCTTTTACAGCTTCTGCAGACAGTCAAACTGGTGAGTATGCCCTTTGCTTCTTTGTATTGACAGTATTATATCCTCATAATATGATGCTGTGTTTGCTATGGGGGATATGTCTGTTCCACTGAAAATCAAGCTTGGGTTCAGCATGGGCAGTTCCCCCATTTTAGTGGGGTCTGGGATTTGCTTCTTAGATCCACTGAAGACCCAAGGGAATGAGGCTGCTGCAAGTACAGATCTTGAACTGCATCTACAATAGGACTCTTTGGTACCTGACCTCCCTTGGGAGCTCCTTTGGCATCCACAGTCCCTTCAGGGTTATTTATTCACACTCCTTTCCACTCTCTGCCTCTCAGCAACTCCCCCGAAGGCTGTGCTGAAACTCGAGCCCCCGTGGATCAACGTGCTCCGGGAGGACTCTGTGACTCTGACGTGCGGGGGGGCTCACAGCCCTGACAGCGACTCCACTCAGTGGTTCCACAATGGGAATCTCATCCCCACCCACACGCAGCCCAGCTACAGGTTCAAGGCCAACAACAATGATAGCGGGGAGTACAGGTGCCAGACTGGCCGGACCAGCCTCAGCGACCCTGTTCATCTGACTGTGCTTTCTGGTCAGTGGAGGAAGGCCCTGGGGTGGACCTGGGAGGGCCAGGATGGATTGAATCTGTTTACAGGCAGAGGTTTGCAGGAAAGAGTAGGGGTGGCCTGCTTACTGGGAAGCACTATTGTGAGTTGCTCATTCATTCCCCATTTCACCCACCTCCTTTGCTTAGCATGTGTGGTGGGGGAAGGGGGAATTTCTAATAATTTTCTCAGCATGTGTTAGGTTGTTTTTGCCTCAGTCTTGATTGAGCAAGGGGGTTACAAGGCCACAAACAGCTGAGTGTGAGAGAAGCAGAAGGAAATCCCTACTTCAAAAAACTACCTTCCTCCTGAGGCAGTGTGGTAAAGCAGAGAGGTTGGAGGAAATAGACCTCTGAAGGCTCTAAGGCGGCAGGCTGCCAGCCAGCTGTGTGGACGTGGGATTGCAGAATTCTGTCTGGAAGATGAGGTCAGAGGTGAGGGGAGGGTGAAGGGTAGATCAAGCAGAGGCTGATAGGCTGTTGCAACTATTTTGACTTTTATTCCTGAGTGAGTTGAGATGGCTTTAATTAAAGGAGTCACATCATCTGATTTTGGTTTATGTAAACATCTGACAGTGTTCAGTTTAATAGAGTCTGTAGAGAAAATGCTTTTAGATAGTTTTTTTTTTTTTCTCCCAAGTAGCTGGGACTCCAGGTGCACACCACCATGCCAAGCGACTTATTTTTATTTCTTTTTATAGAGACAGGGTCTCACTATGTTGCCCAGGCTGGTCTTCAGCTCCTGGTCTCAAGCGATCTTCCCTCCTCAGCCTGTCAAAGTGTTGGGATTATAGCGTGAGCCCCCACGCCTGGCTTAGATACTGTTTCTACCTGCTTCCAATGTCTGAAAATATAAGCACATTTCTACTGTTGTTTACTTGAGCTGCACTCTTGGTGCATAAACCCTGGAGATGGTCGCGGGTAAACATTCAGTGTTTTAGATTCTCCTGTTCAACACTGAGATGGTGATTTGTTTTTGTGGTCCTTTAAGGCTGCTGCTGTACCAGAGAGATCCTGGCGGTGGAGTTGCTTTCTCTTGATGGTGCTGTACTGAAGGGAAATAAATAAATACTGAGTTGACCTCAAAAGCTACCCAATGACATCATAGCTCCCCTCTGTATTGGCTTCCCAGAGACAGCTGATAGTACTTCTGACTCTTCTTATGAAAATGTAAAAATATAGATAATACAAATTGAGGGCTGGGCGTGGTGGCTCCACCTGTAATCCCAGCACTCTGGGAGGCTGAGGCAGGAGGATCACCTGAGGTCGGGAGTTCGAGACCAGCCTGACCAACATGGAAAAATCCTGTTTCTACTAAAAATACAGGCCGGGCACAGTGGCTCAAGCCTGTAATCCCAGCACTTTGAGAGGCCGAGATGGGCAGATCACGAGGTCAGGAGATCGAGACCATCCTGGCTAACATGGTGAAACCCCGTCTCTACTAAAAAATACAAAAAAGCTAGCCGGGCGAGGCGGCGGGCGCCTGTAGTCCCAGCTACTCAGAAGGCTGAGGCAGGAGAATGGCGTAAACCCGGGAGGCGGAGCTTGCAGTGAGCTGAGATCCGGCCACTGCACTCCAGCCTGGGCGACAGAGCCAGACTCCGTCTCAAAAAAAAAAAAAAAAAAAAAAAAAAAAAAAAATTGAGATCTGAACAGTTGTTAGAGAGAAACTACCTAGTCCCACCCATCCATTGTACAAAGAAATGAAGCTGATTAGACCCAAGAACTCAGCAGTGAATGGCACAGCCACAATCCCAAACCTGACTTTAGTTTCTGTTTCATGCCATCTCATTAATGGTACTTGGCCTTTCATATACAGAATACTTTTTTTTTGGCCAGGCACAATGGCTCACACCTGTAATCCCAGCACTTTGGGAGGCCGAGGCGGGTGGATCACTTGAAGTCGGGAGTTTGAGACCAGCCTGGCCAACATGGAGAAACCCCATCTCTACTAAAAATACAAAATTAGCCGGGCGTGACGGCACATGGCTGTAACCCAGCTACTCAGGAGGCTGAGGCAGGAGAATCACTTGAACTTGGGAGGTGGAGTTTGCAGTGAGCCAAGATCGCGCTATTCCACTCCAGCCTGGGCAATAACAGCGAAACTCCGTTTCAAAAACAAAAAAGAAAACTGTTAAAATTGAATAAATATAAATAAAACAATAAATATAAATAAATTATATTTATTCCTATGATAGAGCAATTTGATTTTCTTCTTTATTAAGTTTGTTGAAACTTTGTTAATAGATTTGTCCTCCGAGGTAGCTGAATTTTGGAATCTGATTACTCTGCCATCAATGAAGGGAAGGAATTGTTGGGAGTGAGGATGTTTGTAGGCAAAAAGGAAAAAGTGATTTTAAGTTTAAAATTTTTCTTGAATGCCCCTTTTATTCAGAGTCACAATTGAATACTGAATTCACTTGTGTGAATTCAAAAGTCATACCTTTTCCTTTCTTATGTGGATGGAAGATTTCACGCAGGGTATAGTATGGTCTGAATGTTTCTGTGCCCCTAAAATTCATACGATATGAATTAATCAAATAGCAACCCCCAGAGTGATGGTATTAGGAGGTGAGGTCTTTGGGTAGGTGATTGGGTCATGAGGTCAGAGCCCTTATAAAAGGGGGCCAAGGGAGCTCAAAGGCCTCTTTCACCACGTGAGGACACAGCAAGAAGCCTCAGTTCTGTGAACCAGGAAATAGGCTCTTACCAAAGAAGCTACAAGCACCTTGGTCTTGGACTTCCCAGCCTCCAGAACAGGGAGAAATAAATTTCTGTTGTTTATAAACCACTCATTTGATATAGCAGCCAGAACAGATTGACAGGGTGGATGAGGCATGATTAAGGCTCTATTTTTTTTTTTTTTTTTGGGACAGAGTCTCGTTCTGTCACCCAGGCTGGAGTGCAGTGGCGCCATCTTGGCTCACTGCAAGCTCCACCTCCCGGGCTCATGCCATTCTCTTGCCTCAGCCTCCCAAGTACCTGGGACTACAGGCACCCACCACCATGCTTGGCTAATTTTTTATATTTTCAGTAGAGACGGGGTTTCACCATGTTAGCCAGGATGGTCTCAATCTCCTGACCTCGTGATCCACCTGCCTCGGCCTCCCAAAGTGCTGGGATTACAGGCGTGAGCCACCGCACCTGGCTCTGTTTTTTTTTTTTTTTAAACCAGCAACAGCATGTGGAAAAAAGGGGGAAAAATGCTCTACTTCATTGCTAATACAGCTCGTGGCTGCCCACCCTCACTTCCCAAAGCTTGTACAAAATTTACCATTAAATTAGTAATCCCCAGACCACAAAAACTGATGGCTTCAGGCCCTGTCGAGTAGCCTCTACAGTTACTGAAATGCACTCATTTCTCTACTCAAACATAGTATTTTAAATTCCTCAGAATTGTTTTAAATATCTGTTCTGCATCTTTGAAACTTCTGAAAACTTCTGTGTTTTAGAAGTCCCATAGATATATAATCCCATATATTGCCTATAAGAGAATGCTCAGATCTGTCATGAAGCATCTTCATTTCTCTCTGACAGACATCGTTTCAAGTTCTGTGAGTAATGTACCTCTGAAAATGAGCTGAAAAACTCTTGGAATCTAGCCTTACAACTTTTCTTATCATATTTGTGTCTTTCAGAGTGGCTGGTGCTCCAGACCCCTCACCTGGAGTTCCGGGAGGGAGAAACCATCATGCTGAGGTGCCACAGCTGGAAGGACAAGCCTCTGATCAGGGTCACATTCTTCCAGAATGGAATATCCAAGAACTTTTCCCCTATGAATCCCAACTTCTCCATCCCACAAGCAAACCACAGTCACAGTGGTGATTACCACTGCACAGGAAACATAGGCTACACACGATACTCATCCAAACCTGTGACCATCACTGTCCAAGGTATGGGGAATCTGCCAAGATGTAGGGAGGGGAGAAGAGGGGATGGACAAGCACTAAGGTCACATGGGCCTACACGGAGGTCCGAGAAAGGCCACAGCAGCAAAATTGGGCACTGGAGCAAAGAGGAGTGGTGTGGAGGCCTGGCTAAGTATTGGCCAATGAGCAGGAGTAGGGGCCAGAACTTGGAGCCCTCACCTCCCAGGTAATAGGTAGTCAGGCTCTTGTTCCACTTTGAAATGCAGGCCCCAGACTAAAGATGGCAGCGAAGCAGAGCTTCCTCGTTGGTGCAGAGGTTCCCCAAGCTCCTGGGCATTCCTAAGAGCTGAAGTTTGCCTCCTTTCTTCTCATGGCTCATGTTATAGCCATTCACTCCAGAAAACCTGGCATGTCATAGTCTGTTCAAGGCTGTGCTCCGTAGAGTAATGATGCCTCCAGCTATGCAAGGCTTTGGGCCCACCCTCCCTACTGCCCGCAAGGGCTAAGGGGATTCCTTCCCTCTGCTCCTGCCTGCTCGCCAATGTGCCTTTATTAGTTTGGTGGAGAAACCTGGATAGGCAGGAGGCATAAGTCCAGCCACAGAAACCCTGTGCAGGTGAGGCTGGGGGATGTATGAGTCTTGCATTGGTGAGTGACTCAGACACAGAAGAGCTTTGGGTGACAAGCACTAGGACATAGCACTGGAGGAGGTGGGAGGTGGGACAGGGAGAATACAAAAGTTGTCATTCAAATAGTAACCCCCATCCTGTCCTAATGTCTGTCTTCCCTAGTGCCCAGCGTGGGCAGCTCTTCACCGATGGGGATCATTGTGGCTGTGGTCACTGGGATTGCTGTAGCGGCCATTGTTGCTGCTGTAGTGGCCTTGATCTACTGCAGGAAAAAGCGGATTTCAGGTTTGTAGCTCCTCCCAGTCCCTTTTGTTATCAGTTTCCACTTGGTCCAGGCCCTAACCCCAGACATTGCCAGAATCCCTCTCTTAGGGCTAGATACGCATTCAGATCTAGGCCCACATTTTATTTATTAGTTCATTTATTAGTTCATCCTCAGCAAGAGCACTAATAGGACTCACCTCACAGGATTGCCATGGGGATGAAAGAGGCTGACGCTCTTACACCAGTGCCTGTCAGGCAGTAACAGCACACAAGCAGGGCTGTTGCCATTCTGGAGGAGGTGGTGTGTGAGGGCAGTGCTTAGCTAGAGAAAGAGGACTCTCCAGGCACCGGGCCAAGGCAGGGACTGAGGCTGGGTGGGGCTCATATGGGTGTCACGGGGGAGTAGAGAGGGTGCTGCAAGCTGCTGAGAAAGAGAAATAATCCCACTAACACCTCACAAAGCACTTTGCAATTGGTTCATAGCTAGGACCTCAGTTACTGGTGATAATACAGAGAAACAGAGAGAGACTGAGACACAGAGGTGTTTTTAAAAGGCATAGCAAGCTTCAGACAGATACCATGGAGTGGCCTTTCTGACACTCCTGGGCGTCCCCATGGGTGAGCTGAGCTCTGCCTCTGGACCAGCGCTTTTCCAGGCGGGAGCAGCCCCTGAGCAGGGGAGCTGGGGGTGGGAGGACGGGAAGCATCTGCCAGAGGGAAGGCCTGAGCTGGTTCCATCCAACCCTGGCCCTGGTCCTTGGTCCTGAGGACTCAGGCCCCACCCCCTAATCCTACTAACCTCCTGTGTGCCCCTCCCAGCTCTCCCAGGAAACCCTGAGTGCAGGGAAATGGGAGAGACCCTCCCTGAGAAACCAGGTGAGTACAGGGTTGTCTCAGGGATTCAGTGATGGCTCACCAGGGCTGCCCGCTGGACCGGAGCCAGCCAGAAGGGGCTTGTGCGAGTTCAGCTGGGAGCCAGGGAGGGAGCAGCGGTGAGGGGATGGCCGGGGCTCAAATCGCTTGGTCAACTCTGAGTCTAATTTCTGGGCCTAAAGAGGACCTCTCTGGAGATGAGAAGAGAAACACCAGTCCCAGATAGAGAGGGCTGTGTTCAAATTTCTAGGACCAGGAATCTGGTGATATTTCCAGAGCAGGAAATCAGAGATACTTTGGTCTTTCCGTGGAGCTTTGGCGGAGCTGGCAAAGGATAGGGCTAGGGGCTGTAAGACTGAGGCCAATCGGATGCGGGAGGCAGGATTCTAAGGGGAAAGGAGGAGGAGGCCTGGAAACCCCTTGATTTGCTGAGGAATCTGTCTCTATGGAGAGATGGGGTGGAGTGGCCAGGCTCAGCTGTCTGTGGAATGCTAAGAGGAGGTTTGGGCTCGAGAAAATTCCTGGGGACTAGGGGCACTAGTGGGCTCTACTCTGTGGGCAAAGCTTGGTTCCAATGCCCATGCACTCAAGGTTGATTGAATTTTGGCCTGGTTCTGCCCCCATCACACAGTGGAGCCTTGAGCCAGTCAGTCTCCCTGATGGGGTTCAGTCTGCTCACTAAGGAAATGAGTGGGTGACTGGGGTGACCTCTCAGGCCTTCTAGGTCTGACATTCTGAGAGCCAGGGGCCACTCAAACCCTGGCCTAGGTGGGAGTATGTAAAGGAACTTCCAGGAGGATGCCAGGCAACTTCCAGACTGTAGGTAAAGTCAGAGCACAAAGGCAACCAGGGCTTTCTCTGGGGGCTTCCATGACAATAGGAACAGGCAGGAAAAAGAGGCTGTCAAAGACCCCAACTCAGATGGCTGGAGTATGATTCAGAGCAGAGCCAACAGATTTGAGAGCTTGAGCAAAATATCACTCGTCCCGCTGTGCTTGCAGCAAGGTTGCATGTCCGCTGGCCGGGCCCAGTGGGGACAGGGGCCTGTGTTCACACCAGGGCCAAAGCAGATCTGGAAAAAACAAAGTCCGAGCAACTGGATTATCCGTCTTGTTGTGTGGTTCTGTCTCCACTGGCATAAGCACATTTCACAAGGCATTTTTGCAGCCAGGCGTTGGTGCTGCATAAACAGGTTTTTAAAAATCCTTTCCCAAAAAGCAGAGCTGGGTTGCTGGAATTGTTGGGGAATGTATTAGAAGGGGAATTCAGAATGTGGTTTGCTGCAGTAAAGACTCTCTGTGTTCGGGGGATAAGAGACTAGATACATTGTGTCAGACCCCTCCTAACTTCCTGAGAAATGCTGCTCTGCAGATACTGAGGCTGCTTTTCACACTGGGAAAGTCAGTTTATGACAAAAACATGAGGCAATTAGGTGTGTTTTGGACACGAACCAGAGAAAGTGCTTCCCTCTCTCCCTCCCTCTCCCTTTCTCCCTCCCTGCCTCTCTTTTTCTCTCTTGTTACTTTCTCACTCTGTCTTCCTTTTTAATGCCATGGAGTACTTACTATATTCTTCAAAGTTCCAACAAAGATGCACGACATTTGGACAATGTGGAAATGGCCCTCAGCCTTCTCTCCCTGATGTGGTCAGCAAAAACCTGGATTACTTCACTCTGATGCTGAACACCCGTGCTGTACCTTTTCTCCAATATCTCAGATCCCCAAGCTGTCTGGTTTGCTTCTAGGAAAGCTCAGCAATTCCCTGAGAAGAGTGTGGCCAAAGTGACTGCTTCCCTCCACCAGTATGTCCCGTGGGGAAGGCTGTGGCTGGGTGACCCCGAGGGTGGGAACATGAGGCCATATTTACTTAGCCCTTGGCCTTACAGGACTGTGTCAAGGGGTCAGCAGTCCTTGCCTTGAGTCTGGTTATGATTTTGCAGCCTCAGCATCAGCAAGGCAAGCCCTTTTTAACAGCAGTGCCCTGGCTAATCTTTTTCTTTTTCCCCACAGCCAGTTCCACTGATCCTGTGAAGGCTGCCCAATTTGAGGTGAGTAGTCCCAGTCATCTCCTTTTCCTCCTCCCCCATCCCTCCTCCCTTGTTTCCTCTCTTTTTACCTTTGTTAATGCAAAATTAAAATAGAGACTGGGCCTGAAAACTCCTGAGCAAACAAAGCCACCCAGGCCTTAGAAATAGCCTTATCATTGCTTAAACTGCAAACATAAGTGAAACTCAAGTTGGGTTGTAACTAAAAATAGGTAATACTTAACTTGGATCATTTCTGGTAAATGTTTATGTTAGACAGAAATAAGATTTAACTCTAGCCAATCGTAAGCAGCCAACTAACATAATTATGTGACTAAGAACACTTCAGTAAGGTACCTCACCCAAAAGACAATTATGTAACTGCAAACCTATGAAGTTTCTGTATTTTACTTCCACATTCTCCCAGTTAATACTTGTCTCTGACTTTCTGTCATTAAAACACTAGACCTCTTTTGGTTTGTGTCACCCAATTCATGAATTACTTCTTTTTTTTTTTTTTTTTTTTTTTGAGACGGAGTCTCGCTCTGTGGCCCAGGCTGGAATGCAGTGGCCAGATCTCGGCTCACTGCAAGCTCCGCCTCCCAGGTTTACGCCATTCTCCTGCCTCAGCCTCCCGAGTAGCTGGGACTACAGGCGCCCGCCACCTCGCCCAGCTAGTTTTTTGTATTTTTTTAGTAGAGACGGGGTTTCACCGTGTTCGCCAGGATGGTCTCGATCTCCTGACCTCGTGATCCGCCCGTCTCGGCCTCCCAAAGTGCTGGGATTACAGGCTTGAGCCAAAGTGAACTCTTTAAAATTTTATTGTGCCTTAGATTTTTCTTTAACAGTTTGGCATCAGAAGTAGGATATAAAGTAGACTCTCCTCCAGATATCCCTAAGAGCAATGGGTAACCAGGCATAGGTACCCACTGAGCCCACTGTGTTCACTGGTTTCTTACTGCATTTGTGAGTCACTAGGTAAGTCCCTCTCAGATATCAGGCTTGCAACTGTGTCCTGAGCTCTCTGAGTTTATTTCAGTAATTTTATTTCTCATTTGATTCAGCGGTTAATCTGGGTGTTTGTCAAGTTCATCTGTTTTCAACAGGAACTACACTAGGTCTAGTATAGTGTACTAGTTTCCAGACAAGGTCTGCTTTCTGGATTGGGATCTAGAGGTCAAATTGGGTATTTGACAGATTGAACTAGGTGTTTAACAGAAACTGAACTGGGGGTTCAACTGGAGTCCTCAGATAGGTAAATTTCAGAAGGACAAGATATTATGGCTTTGTCAGAATGCACAGAGTCTGGGACTCCTCCATCCGAAACACAGTGATTTTTATGTTCAGATAATATGGGCCCAGAACCTGTGACTTTCTAGAAAAATAGGTGTGCCTTACCACAGATGACTTAAAATTGCAATGGTCACAGTGAGGATGTTTAAATCTAGAAAAAATTGTTCATTTAAGGGATGTACTGGGAAAAAATGAGATCCCAAATGTCTCAGAAACAATGATAAACATTTTTGATTGGTATATAAAGGTTTCTAAAAGAATGATTTTAAAAATAGTCTCTCAGTAAATCTGTACAATGTGCTAATAAGAAATTATTCTTTGCTTGCTTTTTCCATCTGAACCTACTCAGTGCTAACCTCCTTAAAAAATTAGATCCTCAAATGAACCAGGAGCATCTACAACAACTAAATTTAACTCTTGTTATTGCACACATGAACTATTATAAAAGCAACCACTAAGGCTAAAAAGAATAAAAACTAATTGGAACTAGGCCAGATAAACTAGATGTCTCCTTAGTCAGTCATTTAAAATTTAATCCACAGTCTCATTAAGATTGACTCCTAATAATAGGTGAAAATGCCCCAAAATTCCTTATTGGAGAAAGCTTAATACCCTTTCTCTGGGCCTTCGAGGTGTGTAAATGTTTTTAAAACACAAGCTTCAGCGAAATGACTCATCAAAAAGAAAAAAAAAGGAGGAACTTTTTAGAAACAAACTGGCAAAAGAAAAATCTTAATAGTCCTCTCCAAAAATATCAATAAAAAGTGTCAGCCATCTGAACAGCTAACTTTAACTCCCAGAAGCTGGATCCAACTAATTAGTTTTATATTATTGTACCTGGCACATGGCTAACATTTCAGAACAAAAGCCATGAATTTCTGTTTGCATCTTGCTGTACGTTTATGTATATCTACACGTATGTATGCTATTTGTACATACTATTATTCTACCTCCAGAAGGTATTTATTAGAAACAGTATTAAAGGAACTCAATTAGCCTAGAGAAAAATAAGCACTTGTATAAATTACATATTTTCTCAGAAAAAAAGAACTTTGCCAAAATGCTTTTCAACTTCATCTTACCTGAGTAATCTATAATAAATAAGAATATTGGTATTAATGAAAGTGAATATTCCACCTAGTTTTACCCAAATAAGCTCATGTTGTCTCCTCTCCTACAAAATTTGTAAAAAAAATACCTTGAGATGACACGTAGTTGGTTTTGTTTAATGTTATGTTTGCCACTTTAACTATGTTAAATGAAATGACAGGTATTCATTAAATATCTACACCATTTCCAGATAAGACAAACTACTAAAACAAAAATAAAAAAGTGTTCCACTTATCTTTTTCTCTCTACCTGATTGTTTCAGAATTTGGAAACTCTTATTAAGTATTTTCATTTTCAATCTGGGTATTTGCATAGGTTCAATAAGAATCTATTCTCCTTGTAACAGGACATAATTGGGCAAGTCCTTGGCTTAGCTTCTTAGCCTAGAGAGGCTTTTAAAGGTCTAATCTGAGATTTCTCAATTACTAGATAGTTTTTAAAAACTAAAGTTGACTGATACAAAGTCAGTAAAGTGTCTTGGATATCACCAAAGCTCTGGCTAAAATATATTTTAAAATTACTATTTTTATTATACCTATATAAATAATCAGGTCAAATTTAGTGAAACTAGATTTATTTTTGCAAAAAAGTTAACTTTGATTTTTGGTAAAAATGGAAAATAAAAATATTTTTCTCCAGAATAAAAAAGATTATATTTTAGTAGAAAACTATGGTGCATCCATTGTCAAATTCTAGGCCTGTTCATTTTCTTTGAAGTTTTACTATCTCCCTATAAACTGGATTGACTCCTGATACTTTGTTTTTTAGTTCCATTAAAAACTAAAACTGCCTTTTTCCAAAGCTCTACAAACTGAAACTGGTGACTTTAAGCTTCAGAAAATTCACTACAACAGAGCATGTATGCCTTATTAATACCAATCTTAATGCCTGCTGCTATGTGAGTCACTCAGAGAGTTTACCAGAATATTTAATGAAATAACCAGAGACATTCAAATTGCAAACCAGTAAAGCACATCACATTGCAACTGCCATCTTCAGTCTACCATTTAAACTTGCCTCAAATTCACATCTAGAAATTGTTTCACCTAGCTGCCCTCTAAACTCAAAAACTAAGATCATAATTTGCTCCAAATATTAACTCTGTTTTTTAAATAGAATAATACCCTAAATTCCTTTCAAGCAATACAATCTAAAATGAGTAAGTTAGCCTCAATAGCACCCCAAAATAGAAGTTCTTGATATCTTAATGCTTAACAAGGAAGAGCTTGTGTTCCTACTGATGTCAAAAGAAATGCTGGAAGATCTCAGTTGGCTTTATGGTGATTCTAGAACTGGGCAACACTTGCCTCCTTAAATTAGAATAAGGTTTCCAATGAGTTACAGCAGAGGAGATTGACTTAATAGACAGAGAATGGTCTGAAGAAAGAAACAAAGGATTTAAAGTGGATTGGCTATTTTAAAGATGGTTAAAGTTGCAAAAGACAGAATAGGGAAACAATAATAAATAACTGGTTGGTTAACATCAGGTTACTTTTTTGTAAGGATGCCAATTGAAACTGGCCTGTTTGCGAAATTAGGTTTTTAGGTTATTACGTTATTATCTCTCTCTCCTGATTTTTCCAAAGGCCAGATAACAATGTAGTTTCTGTTTGGCGACTTGAAACTTTATCATGGGTGATTCCATTTTGATTTTTAGTCTGTTCTGTTTGGGCCTAGTGCAGGAGCTTAGTGCAAAACAATAGCCTCCTAAAATTTAAAAGACTTTAAAGAACAAATGTGAGTTTTTCATCAGATAATATTTATTTGTATTCATTAATTTATTTGATTGGTTAAGTCTTGGCTCCCGAGAATCTTTGCTCAGAGGAATTTTTCAATCCTTGGCTATTATTCTCCTTATAGTTATTGTATTTACCTCCCCGGTGTATTGAATTATCCTACGGGTTTTAAATGCTTTCCTGCAGCCACTTGGACGTCAAACGATTGCCCTCAGAAAGAGACAACTTGAAGAAACCAACCATGACTATGAAACAGCCGACGGCGGCTACATGACTCTGAACCCCAGGGCACCTACTGATGATGATAAAAACATCTACCTGACTCTTCCTCCCAAGGACTGTGTCAACATTAATAACTAAGAGTAAAGTTATGCCATGTGGTCACACTCTCAGCTTGCTGAGTGGATAACAAAAAGAGGGGAATTGTTAAAGGAAAATTTAAATGGAGACTGGAAAAATTCCTGAGCAAACAAAACCACCTGGCCCTTAGAAATAGCTTTAACTTTGCTTAAACTAGAAACATAAGCAAAACTTCACTGGGGTCACACTACAAGCATAAGCAAAACTTAACTTGGATCATTTCTGGTAAATGCTTATGTTAGAAATAAGACAATCCCAGCCAATCATAAGCAGCCTACTAACATATAACTATCTGTCTAGGGACTTTCTAACAAGATACCTACCCCCAAAAACAATTATGTAATTGAAAACCAATCAAATGTCTTTATTTTGCTTCCACATTTCCCCAATAAATACTTGCCTGTGACATTTTGCCACTGGAACACTAAACTTCATGAATTGCTTCTTACTCAAATAACTTTTTAAAAGTATATTGTGCCTCAGATTTTTCCTTTAACATCTTTTTTTTTCTTTCTTTCTTTTTGGAGACAGAGTCTCAATCTGTTACCCAGGCTGGAGTGCAGTGGTGCTATCTTGGCTCACTGCAAACCCGCCTCCCAGGTTTAAGCGATTCTCATGCCTCAGCCTCCCAGTAGCTGGGATTACAGGCATGTGCCATCACGCCCAGCTAATTTTTGTATTTTGTATTTTAATTTTTTTTAGTAGAGACGGGGTTTTGCCATGTTGGCCAGGCTGGTCTCGAACTTCTGGCCTCAAGTGATCTGCCCGCCTCGGCCTCCCAAAGTGCTGGGATGGCCAGCTTCAGCCACCATGCCTGGCCTCTTTAACATCGTCTTTCCTATGCCCTTTCTGTGGATCCCTACTGCTGGTTTCTGCCTTCTTCATGCTGAGAGTAAAACCACCTATTCACTGCTTTTGCAGTCGGAAGCTCCAGAGAAACAAACAGCCCAATTACCAGCACCACATTAGGTCTCTATTGTTTTGCCTTGAGATTTGAGAAGAGAATTAGAGAGGCAAGGATCTGGTATTTCCTGGACTAAATTCCCCTTGAGGAAGATGAAGGGATGGTGCAGTTCCAAAAGAGAAGGACTCTTCCAGAGTCACTACCTGAGTCCTGAAGCTCCCTGTCCTGAAAGCCACAGACAATATGGTCCCAAATGACTGACTGCACCTTCTGTGCCTCAGCCCTTCTTGACATCAAGAATCTTCTGTTCCACATCCACACAGCCAATACAATTAATCAAACCACTGTTATTAACAGATGTAGCAACATGAGAAATGCTTATGTTACAGGTTACATGAGAACAATCATGTAAGTCTATATGATTTCAGAAATGTTAAAATAGACTAACCTCTAACAACAAATTAAAAGTGATTGTTTCAAGGTGATGCAATTATTGATGACCTATTTTATTTTTCTATAATGATCATATATTACTTTTGTAATAAAACATTATAACCAAAACATTCTATTTACCTTTTCAGGGCTCTATTGATTGGGGTGTAGACTGAACTATCTGGGGTCTGTTTCTTTTTGGTGATGAAAATCTTGAGAAGGTAGTAATGGATAAGATGTGGAGGAGAGGAGAGATGGGGATTTGGAGTGTAGGGTGAGTGCCCCTCTTCTTAAAACGGAATACTCTTCTAATGAACTTGTATTCTTGTTTCCATGTCTTCTTCCCTTCCCTTCTATGGCAAATAAAACACTTTGTTTTAGAACACAAGTTCTCAGAAAGGCAAACTTCAGATGAGTCGTCAGTGGAGATTGCTGACTTCCTGCACTGCTATTTTCCCAATGTAGTTACCAGAAAGATGTGACCTTCTCAGAGAAGCCATTCTAGGCAGATTAGAAACATGACCAACAGTCTCCTTGACGGTTTGGTGGGTGCCCTTAAAGAGCCTTCCATTTTCCTGGGGCACAGCATCACTGTGCAAAATCTTTTTTGCATTTGAAAAGTAGCAGCTGCTTGTGTTGGATAGTTTATATCGATTTCTAAGGAGACTATGGAGCTTCCACCTACCCTTTAGCTTCCAGACTCTATGTATTAGTCCGTTCTCAGGCTGCTGTGAAGAAATAACCTGAGACTAGGTAATTTATAAAGAAAAGAGGGTTAATTGACTCACAGTTCCTCATCCCTGGGGAGGCCTCAGGAAACTTACAATCACGGCAGAAGGCAAAGGAGAAGCAGGCACCTTCTTTACATGGTAGCAGGACGGAGTGAGTGCAAGCAGGGAAGGTGCCAGACGCTTATAAAACCATAAGCTCTCGTGCGACTCACTCACTATTATGAGAACAGCATGGGGGAAACTGCCCCCATGATCCAGTTACCTCCACCTGGTCCCACCTTCGACACATGGCGATTATGGGGATGACAAGACGAGATTTTGGGTGGAGACACAGCCAAACCATATCACCCTAGACAGAGGCTCCTCAAATATACAAAACCTTATTAAATCTTGCTTTTACATTAAAATGCACCCAGCGATCTGACTGCTTCTCAGTATTCTACTCCTACCACCTGATCCAAGCCACCATTATTTCTCACTTGGATTACTACAATAGCCTCCTGACGGGCCTCCCTGCACTCACCCTTGCCATCCCATAATCTATTCTCACCACAACAGCTGTTGTGATCTTTTAAAAATGTGTGTCATATTTGTCACTTCTTTTCTCAAAATCATATACCATCTTCCCCTTGCGCTTGGAGTAAAGGCTAGAGCCTTTGCAATTCTCTACAAGATGCTACAGGATCCTGCTCTTCATTCTCTCTGACCTCATCTCCTACTGCTTTTCCTTGCTTGTCTTTGGTCACTCTTGCTCTTCCTTGAACATGCCAGTTATACTTCTGCCCAGAGCCTATGTTATTTCCTGTTCCTGGAATGTTCTTATAGACCCACATTATGCCTCATTATGTCCTTTAGGTCTTTACTCACATGTCTCCTTATCAGTGAGGTCTCCTTGATCATTCAGTATAACCCATCTGCCCTCCCATACTCTTAATGTCCCTTTCCTTCTTCATTTTTCTCCATTGTACCTATTACTACTGATGTGCTATTAATATATGTTTACTGTTTGTTTTGTGTCTGACTTCCCCACTCCTCTCATTAGAATGTGAGCTCCAGGAGAAGCCTTTGTCTGTTTTGTTCACTGTCACATACTCAGAGCCCAGGTCAGTATCTGGTGCATGGTAAAGCACTTAATAAATATGTGTGGAATGAGTAAATTCTTTGACATTTGAAATCAGGGACTTTTAAACTGAAATCAGGGACTTTTAAAATGGAGGAAGCTGTGGCCCAGACAGGTGAAATGACTTGTTCAAGGGCAAACAGGTAGTGGATGTCACTGACCTTTATATATATACAGTTTGGATTATACTATAAATTTTGTTCTATAGTGAAGTGGTTTGGCTGTGTCCCTACCCAAATATCATCTTGAATTCCCACAACACATGGGAGGGGCCCAGTGCAAGGTAACTGAATCATGGGGCAGATCTTTCCCATGCTTTTCTTGTGATAGTAAGTCTCATGAGATCTGATGGTTTTAAAAAGGGGAGTTTCCCCACACAAGCTCTCTCGTCTGCCACCATGTGAGACGTGACTTTCATCTTTTGCCATGATTATGAGGCCTCCCCAGCCACGTGGAACTATAAGTCCGTTAAACCTTTCTTTTGTAAATTGCCCAGTCTCAGGCATGTCTTTATTAGCAGTGTGAGAATGGGCTAATACATACAACTTGCTTTTTTTTTGTACTCAATATTGAGTCGTGAGCATTGCACCACTTTACAATGTCTATTTAAGTCATTACTTTAAGGTCAGTTCTATTTTTAAAGCTACTCAAACTAAGCTACTAAACATAAGTGGATATATTTAAGTGTATGTATAAAATTTGTACTAGGCCAACTGTGGTGGCTCATGCCTGTAATCCCAGAGCCGTGGAAGGTGGAGGCGGGATTGATTGAGGCTAGGAGTTCAAGGCTGCAGTGAGCTGGGATTGCATCACTATACTCCAGCCTGGGGAACAGAGCAGGAACCAGAAAAAAAAAAAAAAAAAACTAAAACAAAAAAACCCCAACAACCCTGCAGTGACTCTTTTACAAAAAACAAGCAAACAAAACCAAAACTGTACTGCATGCATAAGCTCCCCTGTGCTATGTTTGAACCACTCTGAAGAGATCAATTAAAAAGAAGTGAGTGACATTGGAAGCATGCCTGTGTGATGCTGTGGTAACATTCATAGGCTGCGTTAGGGCCATACCTGTAACTCTTGAAGGTGAGTGGGTAAGTGGGGTTTTGAGGTGGCTAGGGGCTGGAAGAGAAGGTTGGAAGAGTCCACACAAGAGAATCCCTTAACAAGCCAGCACACAGACCCCCTGGCTGGGCCAGCTTTTCCCTGCTGAGGTGAAGACACGTCTCTTGCAGGCCGTCAGCAAATGTCTTGACTCTGGCATCCAGCTGTGACCAGCTTAGACACTGAGAGTGAGTGAATTTAAAGCCGACAGCTTATTTCCCTCCTGGAGTTATGAAATAGGTTACTTCTTTTCGACGACAGTTTGATTTTCCACTGTGGAAGTCATATATTGCCCATTTCTTTAAACATTCCTTTTTTTTTCCTGGACTGATCACCTTACCAGTACAGCTGATCTCTCAAGCAGCAAATTCTACCAGCTGTCACTGGTGCTCTCGGAGAGAGGACTGACCAAAAAACTCAGCCCAGGAACAGTAGTGACCTCTACTTCTGGACTCCTGCCTCCCTCTTAAAAGGTCTCTCGAACTTCCTAGTGGGTTCTAACCTGTCAAAGGAGAAAATAGCCACCTATGGAGGAAGGGCTTTTAGTTTCTCTTTTTACAAATGGAAGTTTCCTTTGAATCAGGCAAGTAACATTAAATAAAAGCCAACTTTTAAGTTTCTCTAATACACTGCTAAATTATAACACCAGAATATAACACATACTCTCCAGCTGCCAGCCATTACAGTTGCCACCCTTGTTACTATAGTGGTATGTCTGCCTGTCATGCATGAGAGAGGGGTTCGATTCCCGGATGGGGAGGTCACGGAAAATTGTGTGAGGATTTTGTCAACCTTCAGAAGTCTCAGAAATGTCTCCTTGTTTGGCTTTCAGTAGAAATCCGAACACCAGAAGATCTGAATGGAATATTCTGGATTAAAAAAAGTGGGAAATGGCCTCAAATCACAAAGTCACAGCCTGATAGAAACCAGTGTGACTTTACCTCCCAGTGAACCCATCTCATCCTCCAGCATATAGGGCATAGGTCGGACTGGAGCCTGTAGTAGTTTACTCTCCACCTGAGTCCTGGTCTCTGACTCAGAACCCACTTAGGCCACAGAGAAAAACGCACACTGGGCCTCTCCACTGGGCCTCTGGAGAGGAGGCTCCTCGGTGTTACAAACGCTGGGGAGAACATGAGGGACATCCCGACCATACACTGCGTCCTCCTTTCCCGGATGTTGCATTCTCTCTTGGGCTGAGCGGCGAGGTCTCTCCCGAGTCCTAGGGCCACAGCGCGATGTCACCTCTCCTTTGAGGAAAGTGGTAAAGGAGAGAGAACAAAATTGGAGGAGCCTAAAGCCTTCGGCGACATGGTTTAATTTATTCAAGAGTCATTAATCTTAGATGAGAAAAATAACTGAATGAATAGAGAAAATAAAGCGTGCATTGGCCGGGAATCGAACCCGGGCCTCCCGCGTGGCAGGCGAGAATTCTACCACTGAACCACCAATGCTACTACCGGTTAGAGGGGCTGCAGGATCATTTCCTAAAGCTTAGTTTCATCCCTTAACGCGCTCTCTGGCCATTCACGAAGGAATCAGGCACCGTCTTAAATCGCGGTTTGGAAAATATTTTGTTCAAGATAAAACTGTTTTAAGATATACACATATATATCTTATATATCTGTATTCGCATGGTAACATATTTTTGGGCTTCCTGAGCCGCTGGACTCGCAGCGGCCCTCCAAGGCAGCGGGCAGGCCCCTGTGCGCCTCGCGGATCCGACCTCCCACAGCCCCGGGGAGGCCTTAGCCTCTAAAGTTGCTGCCTTTGCAGCCTCTGCCACAACGGCGCAACCTCAGAGCCAGCCGGGAGGAGCTAGAACCTTCCCCGCGTTTCTTCAGCAGCCCTGAGTCAGAGGCGGGCTGGCCTGGCGTAGCCGCCCCGCCCCCCCATCTCATGACCGGATCCGCCAAAGCCTTCTCCCGCGGTCAGCGCCTCGCGGGCCGCCGAGCTGCCCGGCTGAGTCAGCCCGGGAGGCGCAAAAGGATAAAAATCCCGTGGAAGCGGAGCTGAGCAGAGCCAAGCCGGGCTGGCTGGAGAGAAACCGCAGGGAGGGCCTCACTGCTGAGCGCCCGTTGACGGCGGAGCGGCAGCAGCGTCCGTGGCCTCGCGCATCAGACGAGAAGCTTCAGCCATGCAGGCCCCACGGGAGCTCGCGGTGGGCATCGACCTGGGCACCACCTACTCGTCCGTGGGCGTGTTTCAGCAGGGTCGCGTGGAGATTCTGGCCAACGACCAGGGCAACCGCACCACGCCCAGCTACGTGGCCTTCACCGACACCCAGCGGCTGGTCGGGGACGCGGCCAAGAGCCAGGTGGCCCTGAACCCGGACAACACCGTGTTCGACGCCAAGCGGCTGATCGGTCGCAAGTTCGCGGACACCACGGTGCAGTCGGACATGAAGCACTGGCCCTTCCAGGTGGTGAGCGAGGGCGGCAAGCCCAAGGTGCGCGTGTCCTACCGCGGGGAGGAGAAGACGTTCTACCCCGAGGAGATCTCGTCCATGGTGCTGAGCAAGATGAAGGAGACAGCCGAGGCCTATCTGGGCCAGCCCGTGAAGCACGCGGTGATCACCGTGCCCGCCTACTTCAATGACACGCAGCGCCAGGCCACCAAGGACGCGGGGGCCATCGCGGGGCTCAACGTGCTGCGGATCATCAATGAGCCCACGGCGGCCTCCATCGCCTATGGGCTGGACCGGCGGGGCGCAATGTGCTCATTTTTGACCTGGGTGGGGGCACCTTCGACGTGTCGGTTCTCTCCATTGACGCCGGTGTCTTTGAGGTGAAAGCCACTGCTGGAGATACCCACCTGGGTGGAGAAGACTTCGACAACCGGCTGGTGAACTACTTCATGGAAGAATTCCGGCGGAAGCATGGAAAGGACCTAAGTGGGAACAAGCGGGCCATGCGCAGGCAGCGCACAGCCTGTGAGCCAGCCAAGCGCACCCTGTCCTCCGGCACCCAGGCCACCCTGGAGATAGACTCCCTGTTCGAGGGCGTGGACTTCTACACGTCCATCACTCGTGCGCGCTTTGAGGAACTGTGCTCAGACCTCTTCCGCAGTACCCTGGAACCGGTGGAGAAGGCCCTGCGGGATGCCAACCTGGACAAGGCCCAGATTCATGACGTCGTCCTGGTGGGGGGCTCCACTCACATCCCCAAGGTGCAGAAGTTGCTGCAGGACTTCTTCAGCGGCAAAGAGCTCGACAAGAGCATCAACCCTGATGAGGCTGTGGCTTATGGGGCTGCTGTGCAGGCGGCCGTGTTGATGGGGGACAAGTGTGAGAAAGTACAGGATCTCCTGCTGCTGGATGTGGCTCCCCTGTCTCTGGGACTGGAGACAGCAGGTGGGGTGATGACCACGCCGATCCAGAGGAACGCCACTATCCCCACCATGCAGACCCACACTTTCACCACCTACTCAGACAACCAGCCTGGGGTCTTCATCCAGGTGTATGAGGGTGAGAGGGCCATGACCAAGGACAACAACCTGCTGGGGCGTTTTGAACTCAGTGGCATCCCTCCTGCCCCACGTGGAGTCCCCCAGATAGAGGTGACCTTTGACATTGATGCTAATGGCATCCTGAGCGTGACAGCTACTGACAGGAGCACAGGTAAGGATAACAAGATCACCATCACCAATGACAAGGGCCGGCTGAGCAAGGAGGAGGTGGAGAGGATGGTTCATGAAGCCGATCAGTACAAGGCCGAGGATGAGGCCCAGAGGGACAGAGTGTCTGCCAAAAACTCGCTGGAGGCCCGTGTCTTCCTTGTGAAAGGTTTTTTGCAAGAGGAAAGCCTTAGGGACAAGATTCCCGAAGAGGACAGGCGCAATGTGCAAGACAAGTGTCAGGAAGTCCTTGCCTGGCTGGAGCACAACCAGCTGGCAGAGAAGGAGGAGTATGAGCATCAGAAGAGGGAGCTGGAGCAAATTTGTCGCCCCATCCAGGCTCTATGGAGGGCCTGGTGTCCCTGGGGGGAGCAGTTGTGGCGCTCAAGCCCGTCAGGGGGACCCCAGCACCGGCCCCATCATTGAGGAGGTTGATTGAATGGTCCTTCGTGGTAAGTCAGCTGTGAATGTCAGGGCTGTGGTATGGGCCTTCTAGACTGTCTTCTATGATCCTACCCTTCAGAGATGAAGGGCTGGGGGGTCTTCTCCCCAAAGCTAGAACTTTCTTCCCAGAATGTTTCATAACTGAAGTCTTTTGACTTTCTGTGGGGAGGGAAGTTCGTCCTCTTCTGCTTCAAATAAAAAGTCATTAATTTATTAATGCTCGTGTGGCACTTTTCATTCCAACCAATCAAAGTACAAAAGTACACAAAGGCTTTCAGAAGCAGAAAATGTTGGGGTGGGTGCTGAAGGAGGAATGTGAAGAATATTCCTGAGACCATGTGCATGATTTCTATAGTGGAAGGCATGATTTGGAAAAGAGTTTGAGGTCAACACATTGGAACAGTACTGAAGAGTTAGGGCTGATAAAGAGGAGAGGATTGAGACTTACAATGCAGGAAGAGAGAGAGAGATGTGGAATTGGAAAAGCAGAGAATGAGGAGAAACTTAAGTACTGGCAAGGTTTCCACATGTGATCCTATGATACAAATTCTGTATTTTTGTCATAGCAGCCTGGTTTAGTTTGTCAGTCTAGGTGTTTTAGTAACACTAACAAATAGTTTACATGCTTATTAGCTGTTTCTAATCATGTCACTTTATCCATTGTTCTTTTAGAGAAAAGACCTTGAGTCCTGGACTCTGGAGGATGGTATATGTCAGAGGAAGTAGGTCTGGTGGTATGATTAAAGTTACTATTGACTTCATGTCAGAGAAATATTATGATCCCATCTGGTTTCTGCCCATGGCATAATGAGGATGTTGGAACAAGACTATAGATTTTCAGCCCTGCCACTTTATATACTGTGCAAATTAAACTCTCCAAGTTTGAGTTTCCCCTTCCCTGCAGTTGGGGTGATGATGATAACAGTACCAACCTCCAGATTGTTGTGAGGGTTCAATTAATTAATACATGTAAGAGGCAAAGAAGAATGTCAGGCATATAATATACTATCAACAAACATTAGCAATTACTATTAATTGTTAGTTGGATGTTAACTATGTACCAGGTACTTGACATACACAATCTAACTTAATCTTCACAGCAGCATTATGGAATACTGTCTTCTTTTTGAATATGAGGATTATGAGGTTCAAAGAGGTTAAACAATTTATTCAAAGACACAAAGCTATTAAGTGGGGACAGGGGAAGGGAAGGCTGGAATGAAGAACTCTGTCCTGTCTAATTCTAGAGCCTGAGCATGCCACCTTACAAATAGGCCATAACTCCACTTATTATCAGACCTTCCCCTAGATGTTTTGCAATTGGATATATTATGCCTTTGAAATACAGTTGGATGCTGAGCCACGTGAGAAAAAGTGTGCATTTTATTGTATATTTGCAGAGACGGAGTCTTGCTCTGTCGCCTAAGCTAGAGTGCAGTGCCACAATCTCGACTCACTGCAACCTCTGCCTCCCGGGTTCAACCGATTCTTCTGCCTCAGCCTCCTGAGTAGCTGGGATTACAGACGCCCGCCATCACACCCAGCTAATTTTTGTATTTTTATTAGAGATGGGACAATGTTGGTCAAGCTGGTCTCAAACTCCTGACCTCAGGTGATGCGCCTGCCTCAGCCTCCCAAAGTGCTGGGATTACAGGTGTGAGCCACCACGCCCAGCTAGTTGTGTGTTTTTTATAGCAAGTGACTGAACTTGCAAAATATCCTCAGGCACAACTTTACTGCCAGTTGAGTCAATGACAATATAAAAGCAAGGATATTTGCCTTTGCTTTGTTGGTGTAAACAAAATAATCAAAAGGATAAACTTGTGTTAGTTCCCAAACAATCCAATCCATAGTATATTTGCCCTATGCACAATGGGAGATTTATTTTTATCTCAGAAATTATGGGAGAGAAATTATGGGCTAGAACAATGCTACCTTATACATTGTATTTCTTAGGTTGATTATTTAAAGATGGGGAGAAGGTTACACTAACAATGCACTTGTCTCTGGCTGTCATTTCACATTTTTAACTGCCCTCTTTTCCTGGCCCTGGCCCAAGTCTTATGCAACCTGGCTTCATATGGAAGGAACCTGAAAAAAAAAAAAAAAAAAAAAAAAGAGAGAGAGATGGAGTAACACATACACCCTGCATTACATTCTCCCTTTCCTGAACCTCATCTCAACTCAACATTGACCCCCTCAACCTGTTTGAACTTCTGAAGAGGATTGATGGTACTCACTTTTATATAGTTTCTCAGTATTTTGATAGCATGCCTCTTTCTCCTTTTAAAAAAACCAACACACACAGAATATAAGAAGAAAGATTTTTATCGTGTTTAGTTATGACATCTCAGATCCTCCCAGTTGAGTGCAATCTATTCTTCTATGTGGAGAGTTAAACTTCATTTACTTTTAAATCTCTGTTGATCATTTTGGTTTAGTTTCTTTGGGGACTGTTTCCTGTACACTAGGTATCTAAAAATCCTTATGTTGCATGTAGTCTTAGTTTGATTATTGTAATCATGACGATGTCATCCAGTTCCAAAGGCGGGGGAGGTTTTGAACAAATAAAATCAGAACACATGCCCATTACTAAAAAATCAATTCTTGGTACAAGCAGTTTCTTGCCCCATTCCCAGGTCCTACTCCTCATAGGCAACCACTTTCAAGTTTTTGGTTTTTTAAAAGAATTTTTGATTTTGCAATAATTTTAGATGAACAGACGAGTTGCAAAGATACTACATAAAGTTACTCTATATCCTTCCTACTTCCCCTAATGTTAAAATCTTACATAACCATGTTATATTTATCAAACCTAAGAAATTGGCATTGGTATAACATTAATGACTAACTGTAGACTTTATTCAGATTTTACTTTTTTTTTTTTTTTTTTTGACACAGGGTCTTACTCTGTACCCCATGCTGGCGTGCAGTGGCACGATCTCGGCTCACTGCAACCTCTGCCTCCTGGGCTCAAGAGATTCGCCTCAGGCTCCGGGAGTAGCTGGGACTACAGGCGCGAACCCCTGGTACTTGGGAGGCTGAGGCGCGAGAACCGCATGAACCCAGAAGACGGAGGCTGCAGTGAGCCGAGATCGCGCCACCGTACTCCAGCCTGGGGTACAGAGTGAGACCCTGTCTAAAAAAAAAAAAAAAAAAGGGGAGGCGGGGCAACGCGGAGGAGAATCTGATCCTTATCAAAGTTTGACACTACTGCGTTAGCGTTAAAAAAGAAAAAACTCAGACTAAGACTGTACGGCAAATTAAATGATCCTAAACAACGTTCTGTTGTTTAGGCAAAGGAGATGGTATCTGCCTGCCTTAGTGTGCTTGACGCACAGAAAGGGCTCAACACATTGTTGTCGAATAAAGGAATGGATAAATTGACACTGGGAAGTTGGAGTGCAAAGTTAATCTTAGTCTCAACTGCTCCCTGCTTTCATAGACCAGACTCTAGCCTACAATACAGAAAAAATAGATTTAGTTCTATATGTGCAGAGCAGCACAAATAATTTTCGTAAATGTAGATACCCAGGATAAAACGCAATGTTGCTCGATTGAAGTCTTTCTCTACGAATTCAAGCATAATTTCTAGTTGGTTTATATCAAGAGGAAAAGGACGAAAATATGCATTGTCAGAAGTGGGATTCGAACCCACGCCTCCAGGGGAGACTGCGACCTGAACGCAGCGCCTTAGACCGCTCGGCCATCCTGACACCCGTTAGATAGCGTTTCCTAATTTCTCCTAATTTTATCATATACTGATGGTGCACGCTATAAGGTCACATTACTCTGTCTATTTAGTGTTTCAGATAAGATTCTAACTCTCTCTAGACCCTGTCGCAAAGCGGAAAAAACAAAACAGGCTCCGACAGCTCTTTCCTCTTTCCTACTTCCTCACTACCCAAGCTAAACCTTAAGCTTCCTTTTTTCCCTGGGGACTATTCGAGCGCCCCTCTACTTCTCTAGAGGGGTCGAGCCATGTCAAGGTAGACCCTGAGCCGGCCCGTCTCCCTCGGATCCTCGGCACCAATCGCTGCTGCTGAATCCGACAGCCGGCGGATCCAGTGCGGAGTCTCGAGCAGCTGCGGAGCTGGGAGCTACGGGACGTGAGGAGAGCAGGTGTAAGAGAAGACGGCAGAGGAAAATCACCCGGCGGTGCTCAACTCCGGCTTTCTCTTTGGGATGTCAGCCGGCCCCGCCCTCAGGCTTCTAGAGCCAGTGGCTTCTGCATCCATAGCCCCCCGCCGTTTGTAGGCGGGGCCGAGTCATAAGAATCGGTTCTCACCAAGTGAGGGCTTAGCGTATTTAACCTCAGGATCATAAACGCAAGATACTGCTAGAACGGTCGGGAAAGTCATACTCTTTGCTTATCTTATATACAGATTTCTAAACCTTTACGCTTAGCGGCGTTGGTGGTATAGTGGTGAGCATAGCTGCCTTCCAAGCAGTTGACCCGGGTTCGATTCCCGGCCAACGCAGACTTTTGCTTCCTTCTACGAAAAACTTTTCTAAGCCGGAGCTACAGCGCGCCGTGTATCCGTTTTACGCCTCAACGAAACTGCAGCTATACCTCACTTACCATACTCGCTTCCTGTCTTTCCCCTGGCCTCTTTCTAAAGCCAGGCCTTTTTTGAAGGGATTAAATTCTGATGGTTCTTTCCTCCCTTCCTTTCTTTGTAAACTTCCAACTCTTGAGGAATCTTTGGGATCATTTGAATCCTGGGATGAAGTCTTGGCTTCAGAAAGGGGCTCTTGTGTCTTGCGAGGTTCATTCGGTAGCCACGCACTACTGAGCACTTGAACTTGGCTAGTTTCTCTAAGAAACTGCATTTTCAAATTTAGTTTCAATTAAAAAATCAGTCGAAATAAAATTAATAAATGAGTGGAAATTTTTAAATGGATACTTAATAAGCATTGGAGAAGGTTTCAGTGCATTTGAAACAACTTGGCTATTGAATCTACTTTTTCAATTGTAAATTTTATGAAATCTAAATACGGATTGTTTTTCCAATGAAAATTTCCCTTCCGAGTTGAAACGTGCTGTCTTTAAGTGCAAAATACATAGCGATTTTTGAAGACTGGGTAAGAAAAAAAAATAGCCAATTAATATTTTTATATTGATTACTAATTTTTTGCATATGTTGGGTTAAAGAATAAGATTTATTATTAAAATTATCACCTCTTTTTACTTTTTAATGTGACTATTAAAAATGA